GAGATCAGAGACAGCGCTTTCATCTCTCCTGACAGTATCCGGAGACATCGTAGGGGACTAGCCGTGCTTATCCCTGAAGTCGATATCCGGTGTCTTGTCTTGGCGTATGTTGGCTTGTATGTTGTGGCTTCTGTTGTTCCGTAGATTGTGGTGGGTGTGTGCATTGTCTCTTCTATGGTGGGTCTTGTATTTATACCCATAGGTGTCTCCTTGTCCAAGTAGAACTAGGGAAACCAATATGGATACAATCCGAGTAGTCCTTGTCGTTTCCATGCAGAACTCTAGTTGTCTTTCCTTATCCGGAACTCCTCCTATATCCGCAGGTTGTTTCCGTATAGGACATGGTATGTGGTGGATCCTGCCGAGATTTAGTCAACTACTATTAGGTATGTGGTATCCATAACCCTGACAGTAGCCCCCGATTTCAATGCAAATGAGCAAGTTCATATTCTCAACCGCAGATCTTGGAGGAACTGTTATCGAGCTCTCATGACCATTCTCGATGAGTTCAGAGATAACGTTAGACTTCCTTTATCAGCCTCGTGCGGGCACCTAAAGGGTTTGTCTGAGTCAATCTCCGACGTCAACCAAGAAAGTAAAGAGCATACGACTAAGTCTCCCGTCTTACTGTAATCGAGAATTTGGATTGAAGTCAAGAAATTTTATCTCGGCGGGTACACCATTTCTTCATTCCGTATTCCTTGTCGAGATCCACCAACCGTTCTCGAGCGATCGAGAAGGTGTAGAATCTGCGACGAAGCCTTATCAACACTTGTCGTACTCGCCTTAGTCGATCTTGGTGTAGAACCATAGAGACATGAAGTCTTCGATAATGTCGAATAGAATTTTCCTGAAATCAATACTCAGAAAAGAATATTAGATAGAAATAGCCTCCGAGCGAACGCTCAAAGGGTAACATGTTATAGAATGTATGGAAAACCGAAAATGAATTAAACTTACAGACCAATGTTTTGTATATGAGCGTCTACTCTTTTACCGACTTCGATCAGTCAGTTTGTTTAGTTATACACTCTCCCTAGCCCCCAGCCTTGTCGTCGGAGAATCGTTCTCGGAGGATAAGGCTCTTGGACCTTTGACCTACCTTGGTTGAACAAGCACTGATCCTAGCCCCCAGCCGTGAAGTTGGAAAATCCAATTTCCGATTACACGGCTTGGTTAATACGCACGGCGAGAACTCTTACACGACCAGATCTTACATGGTCTTTCGTCTCTGAAGGATCCAACAAGGCCTTATCCGCTCTGGGCGTCCCTAGCCGAAGTTCCCTTAGGTTCCTCAGAGGCCTTGTCAAGACGGCGTAAAGGGACATTAGGATAGGTTTCAACGCTAGGTGTCTTTTGTGGTAAGGGATCTTTGGGTAAAACACTTGGCGATATTGTGCACCTGATATCAACTCTGTTGGAGTAGAGATAATGGGAGAATCGCTACACCTCTGGTCAAGAACCAGGTAGTAGTCGTAACTCAACCACTATAAGTAAATGTACGAGAGATCGTTACGATTGACTGGTTGAGAACCAGTGAGTAGGTGTCTCTCGATCATTTGAAGTCGTGGTACGAGGACCGCTGCGTTATTGCTGTAGTCGTACCTCGACCATCTGAGGTTGCGGTGCGAGAGATTGCTACGTACTGCTTCGAGGACCAACGAACGTGTAGAATCATCTCTCGAACACCAATGGAGGTTGCGGTGCGGGAGATTGCTACGTACCGGTTCGAGAACCAACGAGCGAGTAGAATCATCTCTCGAACACCAATGGAAGTTGCGGTGCGGGAGATTGCTACGTACTGGTTCGAGAACCAACGAGCGAGTAGAATCATCTCTCGAACACCAATGAGGGTGGCGGTGCAGGAGATTGCTACGTACTAGTTCGAGAACCAGCGAGCGAGTAGAATCATCTCTCGAACACCAATGGGAGCGCTAGAGTTGGTTTATTACATGTGCATCTCATGTGGCCAGTATGACTCACACACCCAACTTGTAGCATATCTGGATGTCCGTTCGCAATCATGTTGGGTGATCAAGCCGATAGCGTTCGCGAGGAATTATCCGTTACCAACCTTTTCTCGAGTAGTCCAGCCATGGCCGGTGCTATGAGATAGGTCGTCGGTCTTCGTTGGTAGGTTGGGCGTGACGACTCTACATCTGTCGAGATCGTTCTCGATAATGCGGTGTACTTGACCACAACCTACTCGAGTGCTCAATTGTCCCTGAAAAATATTTTCTAGAAGACAAGACATATAGCAGATAATATCGAGTATGTACTCAAAAAACTGCATGGATCTTCTAGCATTATCAGGATATAACGAGCAGATTAAATATCAGGGCATTATGTAAACCGTAGACAAGCATGATTTATACGGAAGGAAATAAAGCAAGCCCCCAGCGTTAGACCGTAGTCGATTTAACATCGGGGACACTCGCGCAATAGATAGTGTATAAAAAACATGCTCTAGGTAAACATAATAAATCATATATATGATAATATCGTATGGTCTGAAAAATAGGTACGGTAATTTGTATATAAATTATTGCGTACCTTTGTAGATACATGCCGGATGTATCTACGGAATTAGTAGATCAACTTAAAAAACCAATCTACCAATTACCTTGTTGCGTACTCGTTCAACATCATACGATCTGACATCTTTCGGTACGCCGCGAAGCTTGAGGCTTGGATGATCTCGATAGACCAAGTTGTCGATGACGATGATGGTTCTGATCTGGTTAGGTTGGATCTCCCCCTCAGCTGAAGTCATCGAGTAGCTCATTGTCGGAGAATCCATCCCTTAAACCCATCTTGTCGAAACCTTGAAGCACCAAAAGATCCCCTACCTGGCGCGCCACTGTCGACGTTTGATGTCGCGATTCCAGTATTTGCATAGTATGGGGATCGTTGGTACTAGGGTATATGTGAGACTGAGATAAAAGAGATGGAGACAGGGATTTTTATACAGGTTCGGACCCCTGAATTGTCAGGTAATAACCCTACATCCTATTGGCCGAAGCCGATATTGCTCTTATTCACCATAATCACACCAGTACAATATTTGGGGTAGCCTATCTAACTGTTGTCGATATGGCGGTCTGAAGGTCTGACTCGTAGTCGACAACAGGGTAGTCTTCCTCCTCGAGTTCGTGCCCGACGAGATCAGAGACAGCGCTTTCATCTCTCTTGACAGTATCCGGAGACATCGTAGGGGACTAGCCGTGCTTATCCCTGAAGTCGATATCCGGTGTCTTGTCTTGGCGTATGTTGGCATGTATGTTGTGGCTTCTGTTGCTCCGTAGATTGTGGTGGGTGTGTGCATTGTCTCTTCTATGGTGGGTCTTGTATTTATACCCATAGGTGTCCCCTTGTCCAAGTAAAACTAGGGAAACCAATATGGATACAATCCGAGTAGTCCTTGTCGTTTCCATGTAGAACTTTGGTTGTCTTTCCTTATCCGGAACTCCTCCTATATCCGCAGGTTGTTTCCGTATAGGACATCATATGTGGTGGGTCCTACCGAGATTTAGTCAACTACTATTAGGTATGTGGTATCCATAACCCTGACACTTCTGATGTAATTTGATTTGTGTGTAATTTTTTTTAGGATTTGTGATGTATTTGATTTGTGATGTAATTTTTTAGAACTTTAAGATTTGTGATGTGGACTTGGGATCTTACTTCGATTTGGGATATGCATACCACCCATATTCGGGAGAAAATAAAAAAGTATATGCATACCACCCAGATTCGGGAGAAAATAAAAAAGGAAAAAAAACCTGGCTATCCTCTTTAGTCCCGGTTGGTGTTGGACTAAAGATACCCTATCTTTAGTCCCAGTTGGTGTTACCAACCGGGACTAAAGATCCATCTTTAGTCCCGGTTATTTCAACCAGGATTGCTACTCCCAGTTGAAAACCCGGGACTAAAGGGGGTTCCCAACTGAGAGTAAAAATGGTTTCTCTACCAGTGATAGTTTGTTTAGTGATAAATCTAGTAACACCATTCTCATGTGATCAATCTTTTTAATTTTTTCGCTATTAATAATTAAATTTAAAAATATTTGACTTAGCAATATTTTAAAAATGTTTATATTTTGGGTTGAGGAGAGTAGTAATTATTTTTGCAAAAATATAATATGAACATACAAATATGTCAAAATCTAGAGTGGTAGAAGGCCTACATGGACCATGCCTTGGAGCCGCCACAACTAATGTTTATGTCGAGCCACATCCAATCTTTTCTCTGGCAAAGATGTAACTTGCACATAACTAGAGGAGGTCGTCACTATGAGGATGCATATGTTGTTAAGGCTGCTAAATACGCTCACAAGGAGATTTGGATGGTTCAAAATGTAGTAAAAAAAAAAGAGAGCAAAAACTCAAGTTCGAAGTGAAAAGTTACAGAAAAAGTGTTCCAAAGTGAACAAGATATATTTATCCAATTGCCATGTTTCTCTGTTTTATAGTAATATTGTTAGAACACAATACATGGATTTTGTCAAACACGAAACGTCTGGAACCAGTTGTACAAAACAATATTCCCTCCGTCCCATAATATAAGAGATTTTAAGTTTTTACTTGTAATGTTTGACCACTCGTTTTATTCAAAAAAATTTGACATTATTATTTATTTTATTTGTGACTTACTTTATTATCTATAGTACTTTAAGCACAACTTTTCATTTTTTATATTTGCAAAAAAAATTTGAATAAGACGAGTGGTCAAACGTTGCAAACAAAAACTCAAAATACAGAGGGAGTACTAAAGTTCGGCACACCATTTTCCCAACCCATTTACTCACATCTATCGTTTTCCGCGGGCATGCTTTTCAAACTACTAAACAGTATTTTTTTCAAAAATTTTCTATACGAAAGTTGTTTTAAAAATTCATATTGATCCATTTTTTTTAAAGAAAATTAACTGATGCTTAATTAATCACGTGTCAAGAGACCACTCCGTTTTGTCCTTCAGAAATACGCTTCCTGCAATTTCAATTCAGTAGCACAAGTTTTCAATCTCTCATGAATAAATGGGCAAGTACAAGTACCATGATCGACCGTGTGCGATTTACATAATATTCACAGGTTTTGAGAGGTGAGTCTGTACATAGCACCATTTCAGAGTTCAGAATGCAAACTCAGAGAACCACAACCAAAATGAGCTTCAGATTCAGCGCAACTGCGTTGCCACACGACTTCGTGGTGGAAATACCGCAATCCTTTCTTTCCCAACAAAAAAATTACTGCATTTCAATCATACTTAACTTGTCACCGTTTTCGTCCGCTCAGCAAACCATGCCTTCCAGTCAGTAACCTTTTCGTCACCATTGGCCACCTGAAGTATACGCGGAAGATAAGAAACAGGCCCTAAACTTGTTTGAGCTAGTAATTATCTAAAAAATAAGAACCTTGAAGCATATGCTTGAGCTAATTACCTCAAAAATGAGTGTTGTCTGGGGAATGGAGTCCAGGGCCTCCACACAGATTGTAGCAGCATCTTCTTTGCTCATTCTTCCCTTGGCTGCTGCACCCTACATAGTTCAAGAATCATATGAGAGTTTACCAAAAAGCAGAACATCAGAGCAGCAAACCAAATTGATGTTCCCAAAAGAAAATATTCTTATCAATTTGCCTCTTCAAACTGCTAGGTGGAAACTACAGCATGCTTCGAATGAAGGGAACTACTAATGGTCTAATATTACATAACGAACATTATAATATTTGAATGTCTTTGCCTAGCTCATTGTGCAAGGTTACTAAAGTAAGATAATTGCCATGCTGATACCTCTGTAAAATCGAAACCTCTATCACCACCAGGAGTGCTTTGCATCGAGCCAGTCCTGATTATCGTGGATGGGATCCCAGATGCAAGAACCACTTCTTCATCCCTCTCAGCAAGTTTCCGCAGTTTGCTGTTCATAATAGCTTGGAGACCACCGCTACCTCTGTAGACAGAGAGCTGCATTCTTATCAAGATCTCATATGGTTGGTGATTGAATCTAAGCTGAACTGGATTAGACAAAGTTACAAAAGCACTGAAACCTGGGATAGCAGAACAATGTGTTGCACACCCTTGAGGTCCAAGTCAGAGAAGAAACCATCCTATTGAAGCATAAATGTTTAAAGGAAGCAAAACTTAGAATGAGGAAGGAAAGGGAACTCTAGAAGCGATACGACGTTTTCGTGTAAGTATGGAGCACAGAAATGGTTCACAATCTCTCATGCCATAACTCAAATCTAATAATCGTTATCTAAGAAAAATACTAAACCCCACCAATACCCTAATCATCAATTGCAGTCAATGTAATTAGGTAATCTGATAAATCAATAGGCCAAGAAAACAAAGTTTGTAACATACATCAGCTGGACAAATTATAGCACGAACACCCCTTAGTGCTTTCTTTGTGAAGGACTTATCTTCCATATTACCAACCATGCACTACAAGGCAGCAGAGAAAGTGATTATGAGGATAATATTTCACTAAAATTGTTAGTACAAGCATGATGAGAAAACATCCAAAAACATCTATGGCCTTTTTCTAATAACTGATGCACCAAAGAGGTGGTATACAAGAACGAAAAGCATGTTAAAGCTATATGTGTGAATTACAAGCTGTCACCTCCACGTAAGTTCCAAATGCTTCTTCAGTGGATCGCCTGTCCTTCACTAATGCTTTTATTCTGGCCCTTTTCAGGATTAATGATAATATCACCATCTGAAAAAAAATATGGGCAGTTTAATATGAAGCAACCGAGAAAAGTTAAAAGGAACATGTAACTCAAGATGAAAACAAGGAACTTGCAAGGTTCACTAAGAAAACTATTAAAACAAAGAACAGGAGTCTTTCTGGGCCGACCCAAGCTAGGCCAACCAAATTTACTTAAGATTAAGGGTTACGTACAAATATACAAGCTTTCTTACTTCAACAAGAAGCTGTCAAAGTAGATGGAAGTTGCCACAAAAGCGACCTCCCAAAAGAAAAACAAATTACGGCTCGGTTTTACTCTCCTAAATTCCTGATAGTGAATTTATCCGTAGACTGTCTCTTGAGCATTTGTTAAGGGGGCCACTCATGTGTGTGTGCGGGTATGGTGGTGTGCATGCACGTCTGTGTTCCATGCAGCAAAAAAAGGAGAAATGATTGAATCATAAAATGGTTTCTCCAATAAGAATATGCATAGAAAGAATATTCAGCGGAAATCCATATAGGATATTATATTATATGGAAATAATTATATACACCAATCTTAAATCTCAAATTACTCGCCTGACATGTGGCTGTGGATCTACATTATCTATATCCTGAAACAATAAGTTGATGGTATAAGTTTCAAATTATTGCCCAATGATCTGATCATGTGGCTGTGTACCCACATATCAAGATTGTAGTATAATATTCTGGTCACTACTCACTAGTGAATGGCAAGCAACTTTTAGGCTTTGTGAACATTGGATTCGTTAGCAAATCTGCAGCAGAACAAAAGAGTAACTTGAAGAATAATGGCAACCTGTCCAATCTCGCTATCGCCATTGGTGACTAGCACAGCATCTCGAGGCTCCTCGATATCTATTTCTCGTCCCAAATTTGCAATAAATAAGAAACAGTGTCTAGGAAAGGGTAAAAAAAAAAAAGAACGCAGCGTACTGTTTCTACGCACCTGAAGGCTCATCCTCCCCATCCTCAGCACTCCCATCCTTGGGAAGCAAATCGGGCGCTCCATACCACCGCCTCAACTTTGGACCCCCTATACGACGAATATTTCAGAAGAATGCAACTAAGTCACATAATGCTTTAGCTAGTTAAGCTGTCCAATAAAATAAAATCAGCTTAATTTTAAAGACTTCGTCCACTGACAGACAAGGCAATGTAATGACAGCAATTGCATGTCAAACTACCAAAGTACATAAACAAGTTTGATATATTTTTTTTCTTCATTTTTATAGCATCACTGCACGGCTACCCGTGCCCATGAATCCTGCACCAGCAACTGAAGAATCGAGAATTTATTTTGTGTTGATTCAGGGGAAAAAAAAAGGGGGGAAACGCACCTTCGATGTAGTCGAGGATGCGGTCGGTGAAGCTGGCCTCGTCCTTGCTCCTGGACCGGACGACGACGGCGGTGGCGGCATTGAAGAGGGGCCTCCTAGAGAGTCTCGCGGCGGACGCAAGCTGCGGCGGCGGAGGAGGAGGAGGAGGAGGGCGCGGGGCGGCGGAGCGGCCGGGGAGAAGGGCGGTGGGCGGCGGCATATCTGGTGGTGGTGGACCGTGCTGCTTCGCCTGCGGCGCGTGACGTCACGTCGTCGTCGTCGGCCGGATTTCGCGTGCGCGGCGGAGGTGATCTCTCGCGGCGACGACGAGGATAAGGCAACAAGCTCAGTCATGGGCCGCCAACTCTCACGGCCCAGTTCAGCCATGGGCCGCTAACTCCGACGGCATCCCACGATGGTACGGGCCCAGTTCAGTCGTGGGCCGGGAGTTTTAGGGTTTTGAGGCGGCGGCGGCGGCGGCTGCTCCGCCTCCTCGCTTTAAAACTGGACGCGTCGGCTCGGGTTCCTCATCGCGAGGGTTTTTTGCTGCTGCCGAGAGGAGTGGAGGCGCTTCCAGATCTCCTCCCCTCTCTACTCCCGTCATGAGCCGATCGGGGCAGCCCCCGGATCTCAAGAAGTAAGCCTCCGTCTCCTCTCTCTCCCTCACGTGTGTTTCCATCGATTTTTAACTGGTGTTCGGTTTACTGATTTGAGTTTTTCTTTGGTGGGTCGCCAGGTACATGGACAAGAAGCTCCAGAGTAAGTAAAATAATATTAATAATCCTTCGTGGTTTAGCTATTGTAATTGTAGTACTCGGGTAGATTCGCTTTTGGAAGATAGTTTACTGATAGCTAGAACTGCGCCAAAGCTTTTGAATGGGATGAATAGGTGTAGTAAACTGTTCTTGCTCAAAACAAGGATGAATAGGTATTCAACTGTGGTAAGCTGTTCATTGCTCAAAGCAATAGATCGGTTGTTCAGGGTGTGCATTTTGTTTCATTAGCTGAATTTTTTGTATGTTTTTAGGGTTCTTGGCTTATGCATTTTGACCAATTGGTCATACATTTATGGCCTGAAATTAGCCCTATTAGAGGCGCCCTGATTTTGTTATCTTCTTTTGGCGTGGAGTCGCTGTTGTCAGTTATGTCCTCTTTAGATTGTTTATATTTGCTGTCTTTTCTACGTTGGTATTCCAATGTCCTAATGCCCTAAGTGATGAACTCAATATCTAAGCTATGGATTTATCTCCAAATGAAGCTTATTGTCATAGTTACTCTGATGGGCATTCTGTGATATGCCATTTCATGGTAACATCTAGTCTGAGTATTTATGCTATCATTCATTCATGTGTTCTCATATCCACAGTGTTGTATTTCATTGTTTTTCAGTTTCCTGTGTCTACTCTATTCATTTCAGTGGCATGTTTCCTTTGTAATTAACTGTGATTGATTTTCCTTCTTACTTTCAAATTGGTTGGCTGCTCTACATGATGATGATATCCAAAAAGCTATGGATTCATTCCAAATGAGGCTTTTATTGTCATAGTTACTCTGATAGGCTGCCATATCAATCTTTTTAAACTTGCCGGCTTATGCAAATCATCTCATTTCTTTGAGCATAATAGTTGCACAGTACTGTTTTTTTCTTTATCTTGGGTTGCTGTCGAGGGAAAAAATAAGTAAACCTGACCATTTTGTATTTACTGTTGTATTACCACTCTACATGATACATGATAGTTCAAACTTCGCATCTGATGCTAGATGGTATTATTGTGTGATTTCTTTCTGGTTATCTGTTTTTTGCTACTCTAAACTTCCATTGTGTCAATCATACTATTATGTAAAGACGAGGCCCATAATGTTGCTGGTATTGAATGAACATTTCAAGTTTTTTGTGGTTGCTCATAACCTGTTTGTAAGATGGCTACATCATGGCTGAAATGTTCTTTGGTATCACCATATATGTGATGTTTTAAGGTTTCCTTAGTCATTTTGACCTTAGTGGAAAAGACTGGTTCCTTGATTGGTGGTTTCATTTTTAGCTTCATTATTGAAGTCTACAAGTATATGACTAGAAAGGGTCATGCACCTCAATCCAATTGTGTTTTGCCATTTCATTATTTTAATCATCATCACCTTGATCTTGGTGAAATGATGGGTTTCAATATTGTACTTTTTACATTGAGGAGTCCTCTTTAGTGTCTAGTTGTAACACTGTTCAACTTTTTTTTCAGTCAAGCTGAATGCAAACCGTGTAATTGTTGGTACGCTCCGTGGATTCGATCAGTTTATGAATTTGGTGGTGGACAACACGGTAGAGGTCAATGGAAATGACAAGACTGATATTGGAATGGTGGTAAGCCTTCTGTGAAGAATCACTTGCTTATTTGTTTAAACTCTATACTTATTGCAAGGAGATTTACTAGCAAGTTGCAATATATACATTGATTATATGCTGATGCCCCTAAATCATTTGCAGGTTGTCAGGGGGAACAGTGTTGTGATGATTGAGGCATTGGAGCCAGTGCCCAAATCCCAGTGACTCCCGTGGCATATTCCTGATTCAGTAGCTATAGAGCTGGTAGCAAGAAAACTGATGTATATGCTGTTGATGTTCTTGTTGTACCTTGTCCTTAACTGATGTGTGGAATATTGACTTCGTTTCTTGAATATGGAATGACAAACCTTTGATATTTTTGTTTGCAAGCCCCAATTCCGTGTTGTGCTGATCCACACCATGCTCTTTGTAGCTGTTGTGTATTGCTCGTCATCTTCACAGCAGGCCTGGCTCCTCTGTGCCAGCTCCTGGTTCAAAGATGACTATATAAATGTTTTTTGGCAGTCCTTCGCATGCATTAAAGTAGGTTATTTGATTTGTTACTGATTTACATCGCCTATTGCGGAGGGCATATAGAATATTCGAAGAAACCTTGGGTTCTATTGAGCCTTTTGCTAGTTATTTCAATTTTTACTCTTGTGCCTTCGATATGGTTGATACCTTAGAATGCAAGGTTTTATTAAGCAGAGTGCAGGATTGTGTGTAACGGCATTACGCTGCTTATATGCTGTGCGTTTGTTGCCGAAAGTGTTTCCTGCTATAGAAATTTGAGGAGAGTGGGCAGTTGGGTTAAGCTTGATATCAGCTTTTTCCAACAATCATTTTCCTCACATGTGATTAACCACAAGGAGGATAGCTGTAGGTATAGTGGGCAGCTACAGTTTGAATAGATCGTTTAATGTGCTGTTTTATTGTCTTCTGTTTCATGCTTGCTAACTGCAATTCAAAAATTCAACTTTGGATTTGCAACGAGAAAATTTGTTGTTGGCCCCCAACCCTAAGCGTGTGCTGCTACAATAATTTGCAGTCAATGCGCATTGGAAGTTATTTTCTTGTTGCTTGTTGATCGTGCTCTATGTTTAATTATCAGAGAAGATTAGTTATACACATTCATTTAACACGAAGACACGGTGATTAAGATTAACACAACATGAGGTGATTAAGCTCAATGATGTATTATAATCACGATTTTCCACTCGACAGCGCAGCTCAAGCGAAGGACTATGTAAATACATCATACAATGTATTAAAATATAAAAAAGGGTAAAAAAAAATATGTAGTAGTTTACCCATCCGTTGGTTTATATCATGAAGTTTATGTTGACAGCATTCGGCGTCAAACATTATAAACCGGAGAGTAATTCAAATGAAAATAGCAAATATGAAAGAGCCTGTGTTTTTATCATCACACTGTGACGATAGTACCACTAATTATTTACATTAGGCTTATGTACATGACTTTTTAATTTATATTTAATAACTACACTTATCTATCTCAAGTAATAACTTTATTGTTATCTAGGATTGTCTCATACAAAACTATAATGCAAAATAAATCCAAAATAAACATATAGAAAAGAGATGAAAACAGTTCGGAAATTTTCTGGATTCTGAACCCGTTTTTGAAAACGGAAACTGTCAGCCGAAATTTTTAGAAACAAAAGCAAACGTGGAAATTTTTTGTCCAACCAATTTCTCGGAATTTCTAAGAGTTACAAAGGCCATCATATTAGGGGCTGTTTGGATGGGGCTAAAATTTTAGCCCTGTCACATCGGATGTTTGGACACTAATTAGTATTAAACGTAGACTAATAATAAAACACATTCCATAACCCTGGACTAATTCGCGAGAAGAATCTATTGAGCCTAATTAATCTATGATGATTAGCCCATGTGATGCTACAGTAAACATGTGTTAATTATGGATTAATTAGGCTTAAAAAATTGTCTCGCGAATTAACTCTCATTTATATAATTAGTTTTGTAAGTAGTCTATGTTTAATACTTCAAGTTAATGTCTAAATATCCGATGTGACATAGTCCCTGGATGCAAACACCCCCTTAATAGCCTAACCCAATTTAAGTTAGCATCCTAGCTGATTGTGTTTTGTGATGTAGTGTTGAGACTTGAGACAATAAGTGGACTTGACAAAGTTTGATGGGTTTTTTTTGTTCCGATAAATTTTCATTATTGTATCCGTGTCGGTTTGTATTCGCTATGTTTTCAATTTCGACAATATTCAATTCTGTTTTTTTATTTGGGGTTTCTGATTCCGAAGAAAAAAGTGAAAACAGAAACGACAGATGTGGTGTCCATCCGTTTTCATATCGTTTTCATCTCTACATAAGGGAAAACATTTTTCATGCCCTCAAACTAATGGCACAAAAGGGAAATATTGTGTATTTGATATTCCAAAAGTTATGTTGTTTCCTTAGGAAAGGGTGTTGTATTAATTAACTAAAGTTGTTCCACTCGAGAATTAGATGGACAAAAGTAGGAGCATCCATCCTCCACACTACACTATGCCTAGTCCTCCTGATTACAGTCTCATCCAATATGTCTAACCTTCATCATCCAATCAATCTCGTTACACCTTTTGCTTTGTTGATAATTGAACACCAACTCCGATCAACCATATTGATATAAAAGGAAACCTGGCATCACCACACAATCTTACTCAAGGACAATGGGTTTATGAATTATGAACACACTCAGTCGCGAGAAAACTACCAATTGTTGACGGGCTATTATAAATAACTATGAGGAAATGGGTGTCAGCAATCATGTTAAATAGAAGACTCGAGTGAGTAGGACCGTAGGAATGTTAACCGAGTAAGTTTTACAAATGACAACTATTTTTTTTTCAAAGCTATATGCAAATGCAAACTATAATAATGCGACAAGATTTTCTCAATATATGGACCATATTGAGAAAGTTGTAGTTTTATAATATACTAGAAAAAATACCCGTGCGTTGCAACGGGTAAAGTATTTTTTTATACAATAACTATTAGGAGCTGAGTAATAATTTTATACATTGGGATCGCTATACATTATAATTAAAAAGTTAATAAAAATTATTATTGTTTTTGGGTGGAAAGCTTATTTCTTTCTTCCTTTTCAGCCCCGGCCTAGTACGCTACCTCTCTTCGGCGCAACCCATAATGCAGGTCCAGCTTGCACATCCTACAACCGCCCTAGTACGCTACCTCTCTTCGGCATTCAGCTTGCACATCCTACCATTGTCTTTAACCTCGGAAAAGTAGTCCCGTTTCCATAAAATACAATGCCGGAGCTGATCCTCCCCATTCAATTCGACCTAATGTTTTTCAATCTTCTCGAGGGCTTTCTGATATATTCGATTTTCTCTTTCCCTTTTTTTTCCTAAAATCGGAGCAAACCAAACTTACCTATAGAATTAAATTCAACAAGTTAAATGGGCTGAGGCGTGCCGATGAGGAGATTGAAAAAAAAACGAAACCAAAAAAAAATGCGATCCACTAAAAAATCGGACAAAAAAAGCAGGTGGAGAAGGGAAAAAAATCAGGCCAGCAAAAAAAATGAAAAAACAAAAAAAATAACTGATCGGACGGTGGAAAAAACTGGGCCCACAAAAAACCGGACGGAAAAAAAGTAGGTGGAGAAGGGATCGGAAAACACTGGGCCGAAAAAAAAACGCGGAAAAAAACACAGAAAGAAACGGTTGCGGATAAAAAAAAGGAGTCAGACGTGAGTTGCTTTTTTTTACTACACAGAACGGAGATGGAAACTTAAAGCGTGCGCTATCAGGATGATGTACGAATTTTGAGAGGCAAAAACACCTTAAATTTTTATAATAGGTAAAGATATAGATTCATTAACATTTGTTACATTTTTTTAGTATTCAGTTAAAAGTTTCATCAAACCAATATTTTTTAACTACATTAAAGACGTTTATATTTTTCCACTAAAAAAATCACACTAAAGACGCATATTCATACACACATGCACAACTACACCATTTTGACAATAATGGATTTAACTTGAGGTGCAGAGCTGCGTGGATGCTTAGCTATGGATCCTCCAACTTTCCAAAAACTACAATATTTGTTTACGATTGTAGTAGCAAAGGTAACAGTAAATAGCGTACACCAAATTAATTTTGCACATTAGCCCCCTCAAAGTTGTCTTCAAGCTTCACCACTGCTCAACGTTCTAAATTTGCTCATTTTAGTTTAGAAAAAAAAGGTTAAAAATGAGAAAATGAAAATACAGACCAAAATGTTTTTTATTTTATATTCGGCTTTACTTTTGCGCAGATATGTTTGAGCAGCATGTAGAAACATAGAACTACATTGTATTTTGGACTACTCTGCTTATGAAAGTTGCATACTTTTTCACTTTGGACCCGTCTTTTCTTTTTCTTCACCTTGAACTCTTTCTGAACTTCTCATTGAATTCAAACACACTTACGTTGCCAACACTGGTTGTGGATAATGCTGCAAAACAAAAGAGAAGAGGATGATTTCATCATGGTATGATTAAGATGCAGATTCCATATCGGTTTTTGTTAGCATGTTTTTAAACCGTTAAACGGTGTGTTTTGTACAAAACTTTCTATATAAAAGTTGCTCTAAAATATTAAATAGATCCATTTTCGAGTTTGATTAAAAAAATCATGCGCTAATGACTTTCTCATTTTGCGTGCTCTTATTGAATCTTAATTTTCATCATCTCAAAGGCGCCAATGACCACAAAACGGGGAAGTCTAATGTGCTCGTGAATACACCACATGCATTGTGGGCATGTTGGCCTTTCCCCTTTTCAGCCAGTGTTGTTAACCTTTTTAATTTTGCCATGCAAACTATATATAATATAACTTATTTATACATAGAAACCTTATATGCGTACACTTTGGACATACCAACTTTGAACATAAAGTATAAAATCTTTATACAAAGAAACAAGCATAGAGTATAGAAACTTTATACATAGAAATATAAATTGTGGAAACTTTGTATATAGAAATATTCATTTTTTTTAAAAAAAGAGGTTGGGCCACAAGGCCCTTGTGTAGCCACTTAAATTTGGCCGCAAAAGTCCAAGTGCGTCAAGGGAAAAAAAAAGAAAAGTTAGCCCAATTCAAAAAAAACTAAAAAGAGTGGCACGCGGGCGTTCGTTAGCCTTTTTGCACAACAACAATAGTGGACATGAAATAAGAGTGCCTACAAAGAACATGACAACAATGCGATATCGGATGGCATTGCGCCGAGCAGCTACCAGCCTGTTGCCCACGTTGGTACTATCGAACAAATAGGGAGAACGCAACAATACCAGCCTGTTGCCCACGTTGGTACTATCGAACAAATAGGGAAAACGCAACAATAACGCCATGTCGAAATCGGAGAAGAAGAGGAAAAGAGGAAAAATTCTAAAGTAAAGCAAAAGGAGAGAGCGGATGGAGTGTAAAACGAAAAGAATGTAGTATAAAGGGGCCCAAAGTAAAATCCTGGTAACAAGCGAGGTATAAACCGCAAATTTTCACCGGGGAAAAAAATTCGACAAAACCGACGTTATATATAAATATTATTATAATCTATCTTTTCCTCCCAACCCCTCCCAAATCCCTTCTCTCTACCCTATTCCCCACCTCCGCCTCCGCCGTAATCCCACCTCCCCGGCCACCGCCGCCGCCGTCACTCCGGCCACCGCACCGTAACTCCCACTGCGGAAGCAGCCCAGGAGGTAGGCGGTGAAGCGGGGGGTGGGAGGTTTTAGACTAGACGGCGCGCCGCTCGCCGGCGAGGTCGCCCAGCCCCATGCCACCCGCGCGCGTCGACCGGTCGGAGATGAGGCAGGTCAGTTTCGGACGAAAAAAATAAAAGAGGCATGGGCAGATTGGAGATCCGTTCAGGGTTTAATCGATTTCGTTATCTCTGTTCTTATTAACCAATCCAATCCAATCTCGTCTCGATTTGTGGGTTGGGGGTGCAGTTTGGAGTTCAGCTGAAACCCTATGCCCCCGCGATTAGGTCCGATCCTGTGTTTGATGGAGACATGACAATAACAAAGAGATGGGGTTCTGAATGTGCTGTGTATATTCGCTCCTGATGATGATGCATGAATGCTAACGTGTTTAATATTTGAATTTAACTGTGTTCGACCTTATGTGAAACCTCGTTTTATTGTTTATTATTATAATAAGTAGTGCTGCTTTTTTTTTCAGACCTTCCTGTTATTAGGTCTGAAATTAAAAGGATTGATGTTTGTGTTTTGCAATAAATTTTTAGATGGATGGATGTTTCCTCTTAAGGGTCATAGGATTTTAATGTGGACACTACTAGTAAAAATTTGGTTCTTCGTTGTACCGTGTCCTGTTGGTACTTTAGCAGTGGAAGCCCACACTAGATTTGGATATCATACTTGATATACAAATTGGCTATTAGTTTTTTGCTAATAAATATTACTGGCTTTCTGATTAAGAAAAGCTCAAAAATGTTATAGCCTGCTAACTGTTGCTATTTTGATATAAAATGTATTTCATATTTAGGATTTTACTTTGTTAATGAGGCATCAACAATATGATTTGTGATTACTGACTTACTGTGTTTATCCAAGTCTTTTCCTATTCTTAGCTTGTTCTGTTATTGCAGAACACAAGTCACCAAGGTTCCAATGATCCCAGAGTACAAAAGGAAAGGCAAGCAGAATGGGCCAGACCTGGAAGAGTTTTTAATAGGAACACTAACAAAGGAGGTTACTTTCGGAATTCATTGCCTGGTAAACTTTCATAAGTAAATAGCATAAAGTGTTCTTTTTAATAACTAGTGAGTGAACATGTCTTCTGTGGTACTTATTCCAGGTGCATTGCGTGAATATTTTTACCCTGTTAGAGGATCACTTCTGTTTTTTCTGTACAGTGTGCTCTGTGGTTAATGTTTGCATCTTATTGTTGCCCGAAGTGCAAGCTTGTGGTATCTGAGATGATATGTTACTGGATTTGCTCATTATCGTTTTTATTGATGCTGACATGTGATTGGTTTTGTGAATTCCATCTGCAAACAATGCCATCTTGGGAAAACCCTTACATTGCTTAATCAGAGTTATTATTCAAATTATCAGCCAATCGTTGATTAAGACAGAAAGAAATGCATGTTTCCTTGTATTCTTAGCCCCTTGGGCATCTTACCACCAACTGCATGCTTGTAAGTGTACTTCTACACTGCCATACTAACACGATGGATATATTTGCCTGGGCAAACAGTTATGAAATAAGGAATTTATGGAGGGTTGGCAACTCTTCTACATCACAATAAATTGTCTTTTTGGTGGTTGTAAAATAGCTTCTACTAGCTTGAATGCTACTCATTTTCAACATAGCCTGGACTCCTGGGGTAGAAGTTATTGTTATTACCAGTAATAACAACTATTCTATGTTCTACTTAGCTGTTCTGTGACCAATTCAAGGCGCTATATAGTCTAATTTTTAAAAGCTGATATTTGTAGGAGTCACTAGGGAGTTTCGTGTTGTGAAAGACAATCGACAGAAGGTAGTTGGTGAGACTATACCAGGATCATTTCATAATGGAGTCCCAAGCAATGAACAGATCGCTTCCAATATTGGAGACAAAAGGTAGAGTATGCATGATAGTAGAAATGAACAGATCGCTTCCAATATCAAACATATTGCTTCCAATATTTTCCCTTTGGAATATGCACTTGAGTATTTACACAGATAGAAAAATATGTCAGCTGAGGTAATCAAATGATCAAAAATTGTGTTAGCAGTTGTATAGAACAAACTATAATACATCTGTAGATGTACTTATTGTGTAATTGAATGACATGCCTTCTTTCCCATGTGCTATTCTATCTGCATTATACAATTCACAACCAGTAGTTATTTACTTGAATATTTAATAGCACTATTCGTTTCACTGCTTTATGGTTTGACATCTTGCTTTCTTTCATGGAAACTGAATTTGCTTTCAAAAATTTCACCAGTATCACTTCTGTTCATATATGTCTTTGTCATGTTTCTCTGAAGCTCAACTGAAAAGTTACCTGCACAACGCCATCCGGTTACTCAAAATTCTAATGGACGTGGGGTAGCTCAAGCTGATAATGGACGCAAAGAAGTCAAGCCTTCTAATGACCAAACAGTGGGACAATCTGATGGGATGATTACAACAATGGTTGGTTCACATGCAGTTCTAGCAAAGGGTAATCAGAACAGAGTGCTTGCTGTGCCATCAGGAACAAATAATTTTACTGGTGAACTTTGCTGCTCTTCGTCAGATCCAATACATGTACCCTCTCCTGGTTCTAAATCAGCTGGGACTTTTGGAGCAATAAAGCGTGAGGTTGGAGTAGTTGGTGCTAGGCAACGGCCATCTGATAATACAGCAACAAATACATCCACTTCAAACAGTTCAGTTAAGGTGCCAACAAGTACAGCAACAAAAGAGAATGCTTCAAATGGACAGCAATCTAGATCCTCTGGTGTATCATCGAAAAACTCCCGTCCTAGTTCATCTACACACTTGAGCAGTAGACCATCTTCTTCGAGTCAATATCATTCTAAGCCAAATACTCCTGTTGGTCATCCAAAAGGTTAGCGTTTCCATGGAAACTTACTTGGTTGGGAATTGAGATGTGTAAAAAGTACAATTATGGTGGGTATGTCATTTTGTTGCACATTCGGACATAAACTTCTTTCCTGCTCAAAAATGAACAGAGCAGTAGCTGTTAGCCTGTTAGGTCACTTTGCTTAGCATAACATGCTAATGACAAAATATATTCATTTGAGTAATTTCCAGTGTTAGCAATGCATAGTTTGACTTGGAGCCTTATTGTATTATATATCCACATCATTGTACATTTTCTCTATGTAACACTGTTTTATATTTTCTGAAAACCAATGATGCTAATTGTTGCCATTCAGTTTTGTATAAATTCTTATGTACTGTCTTTCAAAGTATTTGGACAATTCTAGATGGGCAGAGATTATTTAAGTTAGTTTTCCATCTTTTGGAGAACTGCATTTTTGTTAAACAGATATTGTGGTTTATATGCAGTGAACCCACAATTGGAGTGGAAACCCAAATCAGTAAGCCCCAGTCCTGCCAATCATGCAGATAATGTGGTACATTCTAGTGCTGCATCATCTGTTGATGGTAATCAGGCACACATGGCTGGTTTGTCTAAGAAGCTTTCACAAACTAATGTTTCTGAAGATGAGCATGTCATCATACCTGCACACCTCAGGGTACCAGACTCAGAAAGAACACATCTTATATTTGGTAATTTTGAATGTGATGTTGAGTCGAAGGCTTTTACATTAGCTCCTGATGCTTCAACTAACAGAGAGTTTAATGCCCATTCTTCTTCAAGGTGATTTTGCTGCATCTTCTCTTTGATATAATCTTGCATCATAACTATTGTTGAAGTGTTCAGATTTCTACTATGAAGTTATCCTTGTGTCCAAATTAAATCTGAGACATGCCACATGTAATTATTCGTTGATTGCAGTTTGACGCATTATACTCTTGCAGATCAACTGATGATGTGCCTCCTACTGACCAGACGGATCTTGTTGGCTCTTGTGTCATGCTTCCGAAATCAGATTCCTTTGTTTCAGTTTCCGAATATCAGCACCCATTGACTGAGGACATGGAGGTCTTGAGTCCAGGTGTTTTTGGAGAGCATAGGACAAATGATATGATTTCAACCCAGGTCTCACATTCTTCACCTCAACCCCAGCATCAGGACAATTCAGCAGTGCATGACTTTAAGGTGAATAGAATATATTAAGTGGATAGAATATATTAAGTGGATGGCAGTGTTTCTTATTCGTGGTTCAGCTTAGTGGTTTTACCTGACATTCATTCATTCATTCTTTTTCTCGTGTACCAGGAATATGAGCCAGATTCTAGGTATGAGATGCCATTTATCACTAAAGCTGTTGATAGTGAGGCGACCCAAAATATACCTTATCCGTCTGAGGTAATACCACCATGCCACCTTTATGTTCAAGTCCGGTTATTATGATCTGGTGTCTGCCTGTCTGCTATACGTCGCTTTCGATTTTACATTCATAAAGCACACTTAAGCAAACAGCCTTTATATTCAAGTCTGGATTCCTCTAGATTTATTTGCAGATTGTGAATGCAACGGTTTTTGAGAACCTGGTTATTTGACCTTGTATTAGAAGTTTCAGAAGCATCAGAGATCTGCATTTGTCTATGTGAACATCTGTTACAGCTCCAAAGAAGCTAAAAGGGAATCCAAGCTGTTAACGCAGCTTGCTTTTCCATACTACCTGCTAGTATTTTATCTTTTGTTTTTGCACTTTTGGCCTGAAATTATGTTTTATCAATGGTTGGACTAATCTTGACTGATGGCTCCAGCATTTACTTGTAGTTATAGTACTGGATGTTTAGCTTTTTCTTCTTAGGGCTTATCCACTGTCCAAGATCAATGTTTCCTTAGCAGCTGTGACATTGTGTGAAACTCTGTTGATAGGTGATGGGCTTGCATGCTGCAAATTTCAATCAGTTATCTGTTACTGCAGCAACTCAGCACCCAGTGCCTCAAATGTACCACATGCATGTATCGCAATATCCAAACTGCTTGCCATATCGACATGTTTTCTCTCCATACTATGTGCCTCCAGTGGCTGTTCAAAACTATTCAAGCAATCCAGCATTTACACAATTGCCAAGTGCCAGCAGCTATTTGGTAATGCCAAACGGAACGTCACAGCTAGCACCCAATGGCATGAAATATGGACCACCTCATCAGTGTAAGCAAATGTTCCCTGGTGGCCCTGCTGGATACGGTGGTTTTACAAATCAGAATGGTTACCCAGTCAATACTGGTGTAATTGGTGGCACTGGTAGTGTCGAAGATGCCAATATGAGTAAATATAAGGACAACAATCTTTACACACTCAACCCTCAGGTAATTATATATTTCATCCTTAGACCAAGCCTTTTCTGATCATAATTTTGACACATGCTGTACCTTAACATGAATAATATTTGTGCTTGGTTGCAGGCTGAAACAGCAGATGTGTGGATTCAGGCTCCTACAGATATTCCCGTCATGCCGTCAACACCATTCTACAACATGATGGGCCAACCAATGTCTCCCCATACAGCATACTTGCCACCGCACAATGGTCATGCCCCTTTCAGCCCAGTTCAACACCCTGCTCACCTGCAGTTCCCAGCCATGCCCCACGGACTGCAGCCGACAACGATGACCATGGTGCAGAACCCACAACCCATGGTGCATCAGCCAGCCTGTCCGCCGTTGGCTGGAAATATCGGCATTGATATGGCAGCCATGGCTTCTGGAGCTCAGGTTGGAGCATTTCAGCAAAACCAACTCAGCCATCTCGGCTGGGCTCCTCCCAGTTTTTTATGATGATTTGGATGGCAGTGCTCTCATGAGACGACAAGTGAGCTGGTTTCGTATCGACAAGAAAAAGAAAAGAAAAGAACTGATTGAAGAGCTATGCTCTAATGCAAGTAACTCATGATACTTGCCACCTTTTGTTTATGATGCAGGGAAAAACATGTTAGTATTCCAGTTCATCTTGCACCGCCCAAAGCGTGTCCTGCATTGGAAACACCAATTTTGACTGCCAGTTTGCTATCTTATTTATTTCTGGTTTTATAGTATACATCAGTTCGATCTTAACTTTTCTGATCGATGAAATGTGTGCTCCGAAATGCTTTATGAGTTCAACTCAAATCGCATGATAATTCCGCTGTTCCCTGGAGATTTTGTCGAGTACCCGAGTTGTTGCTCTGGATACACCTGAATGCTGCAGTGCTGCATCAGATATGCTAGGACAGTTCACTAGTGAGGTTTAAATTAAACACAGTAATAAAAGGTTCAGGGTGAAAGATACCATCAACCATGATTCGACGTAACAAATTGTTAAATCAACGTCACATGGTTATGCGTTAGGTGTAAGGTGCATCTCAAAATTTTAAGACGACAGATTGGAAGGTGGAAAGTGGTTGTGGATAAACAAGATTATAGTTCGTGGAAAGCGATCGTGCTTAACACAAATACTATGATAGAACCCTACTTTTCTGCTGTTGATAGAGCTAGCTCAATAGTTTAATGGCGGTAGCAATAACGCTCATAGGGATCAATCAAACAAGTCGGCTCGTGTGTGAAAGCACGCCTCATCTTTTCACTTGTACTTATGCTCATCAGCTAAAATTTAAATTTTCAGTCTTAAATTTGAAGTTGATTTTAGGTTTTTTTTCATCAAAATTTATTTTTCAATCTTTGTTTTTAAATCGCTAAGAACATGTATATAAAAGTTTTATTCACAAATTATTTTTCGTTTGCAAATATATCGTTTGGCTTATTCCACAAATAAGCGAAACAACGGGGCCGTCTACTCCTTATTGGTAGGGCACCTATAATGTTAATATGTTATTATCTTCATCCCATATTGATCTCCCTATAATGTTTATACATCAAGACCAAGGATAATTTTAACGCCATGCACAATATGTACACATTCTCCCGTAATAAATGCATCGATTAAAAACAATGCATAATCGCATCCTTTAGCATGCACACATTCTCCCGTGCTGTATTAATTGTACTCCGATGAAATCCATGTCCATGCGGTTATACGATGATCAATTTGAGAAATTTTAGTTTTCATTATATGATAATCAATTTAGGAATGAGGGAGTATATAAAACTAACTAGTAAGCATTAAATGTCCCTACTTACTACTTTCTCCATCCCAGTTTGATCATCACGTAAGCAAATAACACCAAGACCAAGGACACCAAAATATTTATCATTCTCAAATTAAACCTTATCGGCTAAAGTGCTTCATTGCTTCATCTTCACTACTACCTTAAGTAAGGAAATAAAATATGACATGTACACAATGTTTTTTGACAGCAAAATTAAAAAAAGCAGCGGCATTGGGTGGTGGGGTTGGAGGGGAATGTGGCGTCGGTTTCAAGGACGGAGTGGATTGCAGCGTCGATGTTAGGGGTGGAGCGGATTGCAGCGTTGGGTGGTGGCGACGGACAAGTTTGCGGCTCCCGGCAGGGACGGAGCGGATTGCGGCATTGGGCGGGGACGGAGCGGATTGCGGTGTTGGGCGGGAACATAGCAGAATGCGACACTGGGTCACAGCGAAGGAGAATGTGGTGCCGGTGGAAAGAGTGAGAAGAAGTTGAGAGGAATTAGGGATTGATCCTGAGCTCATCCATAGGGTTTCCATGAGCGATGATTTTTTAAATCCTGTGGACCCCACCTTAATGCCGTCTCGAGCAAATAAGAATTATGGAGGATGTCTGCTCCTACTACCACCCATAGCACGGTCCCACATTAATACTGAGCTCATTAACGGAAAGGGATTCTCTGACTTAACTGCTGTGCAAGTTGAGTCACTGACATGTAGGCCATAAAAAAGTGGGACTTACATGGGACCCACATGTCAGTGACTCAACTTGCACAGCAGTTAAGTCAGAGGACCTGCTTCCCTCATTAACATATACTTGCTGATGCCCACAGGTGTATTCGGTATTGAGGGTTGAGAACCCTCTCTCAGAATAAACGAATCAATAGATTAGCATATAATTAATTAAGTACTAATTTAAAAAAATAGAATTAGATTAATATATTATTTTTTAAAAAAATATATTGTTTATCAGTCTAGAAAGTGTGCACGCAAAAAATAAAGGAGTGGTGGTTGGGAAGAGGGAGTATAGAACAGATACTATTGAGCTTATTGGCTCACCAGCAATCTACTAAGCTCTATGGAACATTACACGGACATTTGAGTGAGTTTTTTCTCTACGGGTTACAAATCCCTAATCTAAAACTGGTTTGTAATGTGAAGCAAAATGCTCCCCCAAACATGGCTATAATTAAAGCATCAAAAGTTTTTCACCGAGGGATCACGGTAGGCGTGCACATATATAATCATATACCCAGTCTACAAATATAAAATAATTTTCTAAATATAAAAGGCTAGGGACCATATCACCATACTGATTTTGTGACCCTGTTTTAGCAGTTGTTCAACCTAAAGAATTTTCTATAAGTGGCCAAACATACCGATAGTCCACATCGCAAAGATGGCCATGCGTATATATTACAAAGACCTTTGCATTGAATCCAATGTCGTCAACACGTATTCTTCGAAGTAGAGCTTCAACTTCTAAATTTAACTCTAGTATTATGTCTAGAGTAAAGTTGTGGAGTAGTCTAAACCCATCCACTTCTTTAGTTTATTTTGTGACAGCGTTCCACCTAGTTCTGCTCCTATTTTAGATAGAGCTGGAATTATTTGGTTGGACTTTAGCTTCAGAAGAGGTGGTAGAGCTAGAACTAGAACTATGCCAAATAGATCCTGACCCAAACAGGCCCTTCCTATCCAGCAGCTTATAAAAAGAAAATTAATGGCACCATAGCTGTTGGATTACTGACTGCTTAACGTATCTAGATGTAGTAGGCATGCACATGTAGAAAAAGGGAAGGTATTTTGGTCTGGTCTTATCCATCTGCAATTTTTTAGATGCTTTTCTAGAGGAAGTTGTTGGCACAAAAGATCTCATCAAGTCGTCATCATCATCAGGCTCGCTAGCTGGACCAACAAGCAGAGCGTGGGCAAAATGTGGCTGATATATATGTGCGCTGATACGTGCAGTGGAAAAAAAAATCTCCTGCTCAAGGACGGTCTGGCTCGGTTTGGAGAGCCTGTGACATAACTCTAATTATGAGAAGCTCCAGAACAATTCATATTATCATCCAGATTATAAAATTTAGAAAATAAGCTTGAAGTCAAAAGGCTGAAAAATAAAGGTTTTTTATTTTCAGATTCTCACGAGCTACTCAGAGTCTCAGACTCTTAAGCTCACTAAATAATGTTTCATTATTAGATACAAGCCAAAGATACTAGTCGGAATATTAGGTAGATCATTTTGAGTGACAGTCTCATATGATCGGGATCTTATTAGATTTTAAAAATACTTCACATTATTACGTAGGATCGGGACATTACACAAGAACTTGATCGTATGGATCGGAATAGTGAAAAAAAATTAAGATACTAAATGAGATTGATATTATTTCGGCTTGGTATGATTGATACTACAATACTTGCGGAACCATCATTTTGTTTATCCTTATACTTATTCGTACAATTTACTAGAAAAAATAATTTATGGGTAAAATTTTATATATGTTTTCATAACGACGTAAAAGCAAATGTTGTAAAATAAACCACAATGAGAAAACCACAAAATCAACTTTAAAAATAAGTTTTAAAAATCAAATTTTGGCTTATAAGTATAAGCATCAACGAAACATATAGAACCCCTAAAAGTTGGGCATGTTTAGGTAGCTTATGGTGGCTGCAACTGTAGCTATTCGTAGAATCTCTAGCTCCCTAAAAGTCAGATTTTTCATTATAGTTATAGAACTCTGAAAATGAATTATAACCCAGAAGCACCACACCACCGGACATAGGTCGTCTGCAGTACTGCATGTGCAGTACTGCAGGCTGACATGTAGGCCCCATAGCCCTCGGGCCCATATGTCAGCCTGCAGTACTGCACATGCAGGGGAGTGTGCAGTACTGCAGGGGATCTCAATTGCACACCACCACCATCACCACCTCCACCAGTGTCTGCTTGTGTAGGCTGTAATATATACAGGCTGGGAGGATATTAGGATTTGGGTGAGTCAGTAGTTTGCAATTCTGTAGGTACCTCTTTAATTTTCTAAGCATGATATTTCTTTCGAAGGATGAAAGATTTTGTTTCAATTAATTAAAAAAATATTTTTAACAAGAACTTAATTTTGCTATTTTAACAATCCGTTGCAACACACAGGTTTTCGGCTAGTAGATATAAATTAAATAACATGGTAAATGAACTTAATAACAATATCTTAGAACTAGGGATTTGAGCAATACTTACATAATTTTTTTAAGGGAGCATTACTCAATTGGCTAGTTTTCTTGTGTTGTAACCAGCCCTCTCGGGTTCAAATTCTAGATTTGATACAGGTGTTCGCATTTACGGCTAATTATTCTTACATACCCGTCGATAACGAGGCGCCCATGGTGACTTCGTCAATATATCGGTCCAATCTTCCGGAGGACTTCATCAATCTCAAGATATGACAGCCCAGTCTTTAGGAGGTGCTCATAGTGGTAGTGTGCGTATGTACGTTCATGGGGTGAGTGAGCGCGTGTTTGTACTATTTTTCTAAGAAAATAATTTTTTTTCAGGAAACACTGTTTTAGATATGTGAAACAAATAAACTGATGAAATAGCTGAAAATAGCCGGGCCAACTGGCCAATTCCACCGGTGTTTGCCAATTCTTCATTTGGTATTGCATGCACACTTCAATTAAAAATATTTAATAATAGAAAATTATCCTCCATCTGCTGCACACGGTTGGTTCGGCATGGTTAGCACACTCTTGTCTTGGGTGTCTCTTGTCCGTCCACCGCACCGCACCCACCGAAATCCGTCGGTTATGAATCGTCGTCATCCCCACACCCCACTATTGACATCTGGCAGCAACAAAAATTAGTTGGCGTCCTTTTCTGATAATAACGCGTAAGGCAAAAACTTTTCATCCTATCCTACCAAATATCTAGACTCATATATAGAGTATTAAATATAAAAAAAAACTAATTGATATAGATTGCGGGTAAATTACGAGACGAATATTTTAAGCCTAATCT